CGTGTCATGTACTGGCCTGGGAGCCATGTACTTAGACTATCTCTCATTCTATCCTGGTTGATACTTTGCCTGTTCTTGTGCTGATCTCTGGGTCTGTTATACTCTGCCTGGTGGCTTTATTTATAAAGTCGGGCCTTGGCCTTTTATCTAAAAAAAAAAGCTTTGCATCATTGCGTCGCTAGGCCCCAGCACACACACGGCCTCGACGCCATTTCCCATGGTGCGATGCCCCATTGCCCTGTAGGCCATATGCACTTACGTTCACTCTTTATGATTTGGGTTGGAACGAAGGTACAAAAAAAGAAGATGAGGTTAGCTATTGTATGTATCCTCTTTAGCGGTTCTAACTTGAATAAACTGAGGTAGCTTGTTAGTATGAAATGCAGATCTTTCTTGTCAAATGAATGAATCCATAACTAGTAATTCAGTCTCTAAAAAAGGGCTAAGTAGTTATCTAACTAGTATATGGACCCTTGTCAAATCCATTTGTAAAGAGCAACGTAAACTGTAAAAGACCAGCGATATATTTTTATTTGCTGATCCAGTCATTAGAGGGGAGATGTCTTTGTACAATATTTCTTTTTGGAGGGAAGTTATCTTTATGATGTTGCAAATTTATTACCAGAATTTTGCTTGATTAAATCACAAGTTATGAGAACCTGCAAACAAGTGGTAGGATCATCAACGTAAGCTACTTCTAGAAATGAGCACCCTTCCTGCACACCTTTTTGCCCATTTCACATTTGTCTTGCTAGGTACTTCCAAGCAATTTTCACTTCTGATACATAATCTCCTTTATCCCACTATTTCTCTTTGTATCTTTGTAGTGATTATACCAGTTTGCTATTGGTTCAAGCACAACTCTGTAATGGCTTTGATGTCTCATTGCTGGATCATTTGAGTTATTGATCCAGACCTCTCATGTAGTTTAAGCTCTGTTTACAAGCTTGGGTCATAATAAACTGTGAGGCTCAACTGAACATATAACTGCTCTACAAGTTGATGCATGAACTGAACATGCATTGTCGTCGAACCAAGCGTTCCGGATTCTTTTGTTTGACATTTCTTATTTGAGAAGTGTCCCATTATCTCTTTTCATATGCGCAAGTTCAGTCAGATGCTAACCAACTGGCATCCTCCCTCTTTCGAAGATGCTAACTAGATATACTGACTCACATATACAGTTACTTACTATTTTTGCTATAGCAGTTCTCACTTTTTTTTCCCAGGACAGAGGACAAGAAGGGCATCATCTGTGACATGAAGCTGAAAGTATTGTTTTGACTGAGCAAAAGCACGTTCGATTCTTGGAGGTCTTGAAGATTCTTCCATCTAGTAAATCTAAGTGTGTCATTTGCTCATATGTTTCAGTGGATGCACACCTTATGAATTTTGTAGCAGATGCATGTGTGAATGTGAATGGATGCATCAGTTAAATTTGTGAATGGGTTTTATATTCTGTAGTGGATGGATGCTTGTATGAATGCAAAGGGATTTGTGTGTGAATTGTGTGCATGTGTCAGCAAACATGAGTCGGTTAGCAGATGCCACAAATAGGCTACAATTTTGGAGTTCAAGTATGATCCTAAAGTAAATTAAATGCAAGCTCTGGATGCAACATATAAGGCATAATGCATTGGGGTAGTTGTATCTAGTTTTTTTTTTCATTTATGCCATTTGTTGTGTCCCACTACTCAGTTTTGCCATTAAAAGGTACAACTGCTCAAAGATGCCATCATTTCGTGAGATGCTTGCTCAAAAATGACATTAGATACCTAAAAATGCCATCATTTCATTAGATGTTTGCTGAAAAATGCCATTATACACCATTACTGTCAGGTCAAACCCATTGAACATATTGTATGATCAAAACACCCTAGACCCACATTTCAGCTCTCTCTATCTCACAATGATAAGTGTAGGCCCCACTTATCAGGAGTAAGCAAGTGAATAATTTTAGAGGAAAATAAGAACGCTGTTGGGGATCAAGTGGGACCCACATGTTATCGTAGTGAGATAGAAGGAGAGCTGGCATGTTGGTCCATGGGTATTTTGGTCATTATAACATGGTGAACGGGTTTTGAGCTGACAGTAATGGTGTCTACTAGCATTTTTGAGCACACGCCTAACAGAGCGATGACATTTTTGAGCATTTGAAATTCCTAGTGGCAAAGCTAATAGTGAGACACAACTAGTGGCATAAATGATAAAAACCCTTTATCTAAATATGTATCATGCCGTAGGAAACTGCCCTAAGAGATGATGCATTGGGAGTGCTTATGATGGATAAAACTAATATTTGTTAATTGTTTACTCTTGTATAGTGACTGGGGACTTGAGCAAACTTTTCAACTTCTTCAGTTCACTGCAAATTAACGGTGCCCTCCATAGATTGTGCCTAAAGCTCCAAGAAGACTAACACAGCCACTCATCATCACACGAACAAAAATATTCAAGTACAACTTTCCATCTTCCTGGCCCTGGAATGGTACTGATAAAATAGGGGCATGAACCTCTTGACTCTTCACCTGATTCTCATCTTTGGATGTACTGGGTGGCTATAGTAATAATCTTGTTTTCAGTTTCAAGTCTCCCCAGGAAATGGATGTCTTGCCTTTGCCAAAGCGACCTACCAGGGACTGGTCGGAGCTGCCTTTTGATGCCCTCTATTCAATTTTTGAAAATCTAGGGGTCGTTGATCTTCTCATGGGTGCGGGCCTTGTTTGCCACTCATGGCTGGAGGTGGCCAAGGAGCCTGATCCATGGCGAATCGTGCACATGCAACACCACGAGATTGTCAGAATGAACGCAAATGATTTGCGGGCAATGTTGAACGTGTCTATCGACCTTCTGACGGGCGGATGGAGGTGTTTGTGGGAGAGTGGTTTCTTACTGATAAGCTCCTCAAGTACATAGCGGACAGGTAATCTTATCTCGGTACTAGATTGTGTTCTAGAATTTTAATTATACTCTGGGCTAGAATTTTGTGTTTCTAACACTTAATGCAAATCCCCTTGACTTTGCTATCTTTATGCATGGATAGATATCTGTTTTAAAAGATTTATGTCATAGATTTCATACCATCGTTATATGAGGTCAAATCAACTATTGATAGAGTGAGGAATTTCGATGCAAAAATATAATTCTTCTTGTGTTGAATAAATGTCCCAATTATTATTATCAATTCCATCTTCATACAGATTTAAGTAGATTTCAGCAGTAGGAATCTTTGCTTGTTTTTAAAGCTAAGTAAAAGGCTTCTAATGCTACCTTTACATTGCTATTGTGTTCTAAACCAAAGGTAGCCACATATTTTCTTTTGCAAAACTGAGTGTAGTGACTGAGGTCAGATCAAATGCTGGGGTGTGCATACTCGCACCATGCTTCAAGTCACAACTCATTCAACTGATCTTTCATCATCAAACCTTTGAGATGATATCGTTCACGCAGTGGCTCTATTACTTTACTATATCGAAATGCATCACTAATGTTTCTTTTCACGGAAACAGTGAAATGAAGCATTCTACTGTATCTCTTTTTGTTAATTACACGGAAAAAAACCTATGTATAAAGGGAAAAAAAAGCAAGAGTTACAGATAATGCACCAACAAGTTTGTTATTTGAAATACGAGCTCTGTAATTGTAACGATGTTCATTAGGGGGTGCTAAGGCCTTGTACTATGGGAGGTGCTTAGAGAGATGCTTAGAAAAATAACCTGGTTTTTCTGAAGCACCGATGACTATTTCTATAAGAGAGACGCTTAGTAAGCGTATATCCTGTATAAATAAGCAACGGTGCTTAAAAAAAGCCTGACTTATTTCTTTAAGCACCTCCCATTGTACAAGGCCTAAGAGGCAGGTGCTGCTTTTGCAGGTCGCCCAATCTGAGGCACCTTGACCTTGTGAGGTGCTATAGGATCACAAAAGAAGGATTGACTGAGGCGATACCAGGTTTTCCTCTGCTGGAGAAAATCGTGCTCTGGGGTTACCGAAGAAGTGTCACGGGGGATCTTTATCAAGTCATTGGTAAAACATGCAATCAACTCGAGTGCCTCGAGCTATGCCATGGAAGTAGGGAACAGACACTTGGGATCGTGGCATTACAAGGGCTGCGAGACCTCACCCTCATACGCTGCGATGTGAACGATGAAGAGCTGGCATTTATCATTGATAGTTGCCCTCTCCTGGAGCGTCTTCATGTGAGGGGTTGTTTCGAGATCATCGGCGAGCCAGTCCTGATGGCCAAGCGTGCCAGGATCAAGGCAATGTCGGTTCAAATCTATGACTGCTATAACTGGGACTAAGTGATTGGTATTTCTCCATAAGATGTACTCCCTTCATAAAGAAATATAACAGTGTTTAGATCACTAAAGTCTTATATTTCTTTACAAAGGGAGTATACGAGAGGAGCAACCAATTTTTTATCGGATTGTCATTGTTGATCAGTTTAGGGATGATCGGATTCTGACGGCAGCTATGTACATACTGTATTTCAGAAGCTGTCATTTTCTTTTCCAGGCGGCCAGATATCAAATCAAAATGACAAATTTGATGTTTATAATTATTATTCATCTGCCGACCTTTTCTTTCCACAGCAGAATCATTCAAATTTTAAATGTTTAGAGATTGTGCTCTGAGGATTCTTACCTGAGCATGCAGCTCCCGTATTCTCTTCGGCTCCGGTCCAGCCCCTTTTTTTTTCTTAGAGTCACCCCCTCCCCAGACGGTAGAACCACGGGTTGGGTTGGGCCTGGGCCCTGGGCCCTGGTCGAGAGAAGACGAAGGGAACTTGAAATGAAAGGAAATGTTTGCATCTATTGGCGCCAAAAGCTCAATTCTTTTGGAGGGCGCGCTAAAAGAATTCGCGGTTCCCTCCACCAAAACAGAACCGCGGGGAAACAGAGAGAGAGAGAGAGAGAGAGAGAGAGAGAGAGAGAGAGAGAGAGAGAGAGAGGGAGGGAGGAGATAGCCGCCGTGCTCGTGGGAGGAAGAGGGGCACCATGCCGATCGAGCTGCCTAGGGGGCTGCCCTTCGCGGTGGACACTTGGACCCCCGCCTCCGCCCTCAAGCGCCACCGCTTCCTCACCCACGCCCACCGCGACCACCTCGCCGGCATCACCACCACCAGCGCCGCAGGCGCCGTCTACGCCTCGCGCCTCACCGTCCTCATCGCCCGCCACATCTTCCCTCAGGTAAACGCCAACCTGCACCGCATCTCTCTCTGTACCTTCATTTCTTTTCATCTCATCCCCATTCCCGTTTCATGGAAAACAATTTGCCATCTCAAAGCTTGGCCCAGACGCGTTCGTGGAGATGGAGCTCGGGGCGCCGGTGCTCGTCCCGGATCCCGACGGTGACTTCACCGTCACCGCTTTCGACGCCAACCACTGCCCTGGTCCGTGCGCCAACGCCGTCCTCTTCTCATTCTCGCTAATTACCTCATTAGTATTGCCACCGCGGCCGATTCGAAATCCTTGTGCTGCTCGCAGGCGCGGTGATGTTCCTGTTCGAGGGCGCCTTCGGCAACGTCCTGCACACCGGCGACTGCCGCCTCACTCCTGACTGCATTCAGGGCCTGCCGTTCAGGTACATCACTGCGGAGGCACCAGGAGCAAGCCAGGCGCCGCCGTCGTGCCGCATCGACTACCTCTTCCTGGACTGCACGTTTGCCAAGTGCCCGCTGCAATTCCCGGCCAAGGAGGCCTCCATACGTCAGGTCCGTGTGCTGCTTCATCAGTAAATCAGAACAGCAATCGACCCGTGTGTCTCATCATCACATTATATTTTTCAGGTGATCAATTGCATCTGGGAGCACCCTAATGCGCCGACAGTGTATCTCGTGTCCGACATGCTGGGACAGGAGGACATACTGATCGAGGTGTCCAGGGCGTTCGGGTCAAAGATATACGTCGACAAGGACAAGAATTCAGAGTGCTACCACACCCTCTCGCTCGTCGCACCGGAAATCCTCACCGAGGACGCGTCCTCTCGCTTTCAGGTGATCGAATTCTCCCGGTTGTCAGAGCGGGCAACGGATATGCTTGCATTAGCACGGGCGAGGCAGCAGCCTGAGCCCCTCATCATCAGGCCTTCTACCCAGTGGTACGCGCACTACGCGGCACCAGATGCGTCGCTGAAGCAGAAGCCGGCGCTGACGGAGCCTATGCGGGATGAATTCGGGGTGTGGCACGTGTGCTTGACGATGCATTCGTCTCGCGAGGAGCTGGAGCAGGCCCTGCGATTCCTCCAGCCTAAGTGGGTCATCTCGACAACACCTCCTTGCCTTGCCATGGATCTGGCCTATGTCAAGAAACACTGCTTCCTGTCCCGGCTAAGCCCCGAGGATCCCATCTGGAAGTTGCTCGGAATACCTCATGGAAATCGTACTGTCACAGGCTCACCGCAGGCGGCGATAACCACAGTAGAAGCCATTAAGCAGAGCGAGGAACAAGAGTCGGAAGACACTTGTTCTGCTGTTTGCAGCCAGGTATTACAAGATGAAGGACCGGTGTTACAAGATTTTGCAATTGAGGTGGCGCAGCCGGTGACATTGTTTGGGAGAGCAAGGTTTGGATTACCTCAGGACTTTGAACTGTGGAAAGACAAGTATGAGAGTGTTCAAGTGGCCGAGGAGGTCAAATTTGAGGAGGAATTGCAGAATTCAAATGCAAAATCCTTCGAGCTATGGAAGGACTTCAAATCTGACAAGGGCACTGCCCACATGATTGATTTAACTCAAGCTGTAACAAACGAGCTCCATGGTTCAGCAATAGAACCTGAGTTGCAGAAGGACTGTGAATCCATCGACGGCATTCAAGTAATCGACATTACTCATGGTGAAGTGCGTGAGCACAGCTCGAGTAGGGACGGCTGTGCTGAACTTGCCAAGGATGTGAAATGCAATCAGGGTGCAGAACAAATCAGGGAGAGTGTCAAATTCATCGCTGAGACAGTACAAGCTAAAGTAGAAGCAACAGAAGAACTGCTTTCTGAGGATCGCATTGTTCTATCCGACATTAGCAACAGATCTGAAGGCCCTGACACTGACAGAGCAGATACTGCTGGAGTCGGGTCATCGAAGGTTTTGAATGCAAAGCTGAGGAGGCTGTACAGGTCGATGAACGTGGCAGTTCCTCGGCCATTGCCATCATTGGTGGAGCTCATGGGAGCCTCCAAACGACCAAGGGTCTCCTCCCAGTTTCGTCATCTGTGAAAGGCCTTTTGTTATCATAGCACAAGATTATTGCTAGGGCTCTAGATCTGTCTCAAATCCCTGTGCAGCTACAAATTTGTATTGAAGTGATTCCTTTGCTACAGAAATCAAAGTGATTTAGTGGTTGTGAATACTTCAGTTCTTGATATGGTCTTGGCATTTTGTGGTGATGTAGCTGATCCAAGTCCATGTTTACTTTTGCAACAAGTTCATGTCTACTTTTTTTAGAAACATAAGTCCAAGTTTACTTGATGTTTTTATCAGTTTGGGCTCACGCGTTGTGCCAAGTTCAGATAGGTGCCATGTCCACGCCGAGCCTTGCTGGTGGATTTCGGTTATTTTTTGTTTGTAGTTTATAATTTTCTATCTACTGATGATTTGTTTGTTTGATTAATAGTTATTCTAGTTGTAGAAGGTGGTCTTGAAAGATAGTAGTCTTTTGGCTTATCTGTTTATTTGAATGTTCGAGAAGATGTGACGTAGGTGTATGACGGTTGTATGTTTCAAATCTGTTTGCAGATGCCGCTGTGTTCTCGTGTATATATAGTAAGGTTGGTGAATTTAAATAGGGTTAGTTGGGTGCTTTTGTTCAGATGTGGGGAACTCTTATTTTTGTTGGAAATATGGATGGACAACAACATTTGGCGTTGGACATGATAGGAGATGAAGAAGATGAAGGTTACATAATCTTACCTATGGGTTTTGTAAGTTCTTGTTTTTTGTTATGCTTTGAAAGAGATGCTAAGAGCATCTCCAGCCGTTCGGCCCCCCAGGGCGCCGAAAAAGAGCGGCCTGGGGGCGAGCCGGTGCTATTTCGGCCCTGGGGTTCATTTCTTCCCAGCCACGCGCCCGGGTACCACCCCCGAAGGCGCTCCATATTCGAAATTCATCATTCCCGCTCAAAGAAACAACAAACCGGCGATCATCGCGATAGTTCGGCCATTCATAGTGCCACATATCGGCGATCAAATGTAGTTCGGCGTACAAAAAAGAAAGGACGCGGAAGGCATCAGACTTTGAGCTCAACCTCCGGCGGCGTCGGCGGCGGCGTACGCGGGCTGGGAGGAGTCGGCGCGGCTACCGGGCTGTTTGGCGCGGCTTCCGGGCTGTTCGGCGCGGCGGAGGCATCGTCGTCAGTGGGGCTGGGCGTCGCGGAGGCATCGTCATCAGCTGCCGGGCTGGGCGTCGGCGTCGGCGTCGCCGGTATCTGGGCCAGGATGAGGCCGCGATTGGCCAAGAACCACGCCTTGAGCTTCTCGTCGCCGCTCTGGAGCATGTCAGCACCGCCCATCAAAAAGGCGAGATCGTTGTTCCTCTTCTTGGCATCTTGAGCTTTGAGCTTCGCGGCGGCGCTGGTCCGGAGCAAGTCGAGTTTGACGGCGCTGTTCGTCATCAAAACAGCCCACCTCGCCTCAGTTTTCTCCTCTCGCTCGGCGGCTCTGGTCTTGGCTTTGGCGATGCAGTGTTCGATGGACTCTTGCACGCGCGCGGCCGCCGACTCGGCGTATTTCACCTTCTTGGCACCTTTGTTGCTGTCCGGGCGCCCGTCGGCCGCGCCCGCGGTCGGCGCGTCCGGTTTGTACGTCTCTTTAGCCTTGGCGAGGGTGCGTCGGACGGCCGCCCATTTCTCGCACTTGTCGATCCGCTTGAAAACGTGGAGGTACTTGAAGTCTGCATCGCTGTTGTCGTCGCGAACATGGCGAACATGCGTAGCAGCTGCACCGAAGAAAGGCCATCAGTCGGCACCAGAGCGCGCGCCAGGGCGCGTACAAGGCGAAAGAAAAGAACGGCGTGCGATACCTGATCCTCGACGCTAGTGCCGCTCTCCGGGCGAGTCGTGACCTCCTCGACGATCCCATGCCATTTGTTGCACGCCGTTTGGATGAGCGACCAATTGTTTGCCATCCCCTTCGACCCCCGCTTCATGTGCATGCCTTTGAAGTAGGGGTCGACGAGCTTCCGCTCGTCGAACTCGGCCTTGATGCGGTCCCAGTACGTATCGATGCTCTGATTCGTGCCGGTGACCGGGTCGAGGCAGACGACCTTCCACGCTTCGGCGAGGCACTCCTCTTCCTCTTCTTCTTCTTGCCTTTCTTCGTCGGCGCCGGCTCCTCCTCCTCTTCTTCCTCCTCCTCCGGCTCTTCCTCGCCGTAGTCGCCCTCGCCGTCCATGTTGGCGAGGTCAATCGAGCCGTCCTGCGTAGTGAATCCGGGGGAAGCGGCGGCGGCAGCCGAGCCGGCTGCGATGATGTCGTCCATGTCGGCCTCCGTCGTGTCGGCGTCGCCGAGATGCGACGTGGACGAGGCTTGCGAGTACAGGCCGCGGCGAAGAGGGGGCGTCGGTGAGGCTGCGTAGTCCAGCGGCGAGTACGTGTAAGGCGGGTACTGCAGGCCGACGAACGCGGGCGAGGGCGTGCGCTAGGCAGGGCGCCCGTGGGGAACGCGATGTTGGGGTTGAAACCACCGTGAGCGTCCCCATCGGCATAGCCCGGTGACGACGTGCTCCATGGGTGCGGCGACGACGAGAACCCAGCCAGAGAGCCAATGCTCTGCTGGCTCCAGGCCGCATACGGGTGCCCACCGGGTGAATTTGCCATCGCCGCGCGCGCCATCTCTGCCTGTTCGGCAGCATAGTCCGCCGCCGCCGCCGCAGCGTATGCCACTTTTTCCCTCGCCTTCTTGGCCCTGTTGCGCTTGTCGGCGGTGACGGACTCGCGACGCTCCACATCCGCCTTCCACTCGGCATTGGTCATGCCGGGGGGCTTGGAGAGTGGAGCCCTCGGCTTCCTTTGCTTCGGCTGGGCGGCGGCGGCAGTGGGATCCGTCGCGGCGCGCGGCATCACGTACTTCTTCGGCGGCATGGCCGGCGGAACGGTAGGGAGGAGGAGGGGGATTGGCGGGAGGAATGGAGAAGAGAGGGGTGAGCGCGGGAGGAAACGGCGGGAAAAGGGCTTCTAGTCGGCTTCCAGACGCCGATAGAGCGGGCCCACGCCGCTTTTCGCTGGTGCCGGCGCGCCCAGGTGGCACCCGGCCGTTTGGTTCGGGGCGGGATCGCCGGCTCTGGATTTCGCCCAAACCGGCGCTAAACAAGATCCTGGGGGCGCGAGTGGGCCGATTTTCGGCCACCGGCGCTAAAATTCGCCTTGGGGGGCCTGTTGGGGGTGCGGCTAGAGATGCTCTAACCGGTGTGTTTTAGGGCGTGTTTGGTTGCCCGCATCGAGCCCAACCAGGCCCGTGCGGGAAGGGAGTGGCTTGTTTGGTTGTCTGTTTTCCCGTTGGGCCTGCATCGCATGCTTCTCAAAGCAGCCCAGAGCCTGGCTCGCTGGAAATGCTCCCCTTGTTGTTGGCCACCGTCTGGTCGACCTAGTTTGTGCCATGGCTCCCCCTACGCCGTCCTCGTCTCCAATGCCGGTAAGAGCACCCCGTCCCCCCTTTGTTAGCTTAGTGGTTAGGCCGTTAAGCTAGGTGTAGGATCGATTTCCCACTGAACGAACTGTCGATGTCGACTAGGTTATGGACGCACGGATGAGGCTGATAATCCAGGCAACAACACTAATTAGTGTGATTCAGGCATGGGTCATGTTCATGCACCAGAGAGTTGTTCGTCGTGCTGGGAGACCTTTGATCCGCTATAGCCCATTGTTTCCCCAGGAACAGGAGATTATCCAAAATTTGAACTACATCTACAACTGCAATGACGTTGAGGCTCTGTGGATGTTTAGAATGAGAAGAGCACTATTTGCCAGGCTTGTCGAGACCTTCAGGAGCAGGGGCCTGTTACAAGATAGCATCAACACCAGTGTCGAAAAGCAAGTGGCCATGTTCCTCCATGTTGTTGGCCATAACCAGAGGTTCAGGGTCATTCACAACACGTTCAGGAGATCAGTGGAGACCATCTCTAGGTACTTCAAGCAGGTGCTTTTTGCTGTTGGGGAGCTTAGAGGAGAGATGATCAGGAGACCATCTGGCCAGACTCCACCCAAGATTCGCGGAAGCCCAAGATGGTATCCATACTTCAAGGTGAGCATTGACAATATACACTTTTCATGGCTTGATATGCTTGTATTGTTCAAGTTGAGCACTAACACATGCTAGTGATGCCATTTTCAGGATTGCATTGGGGAAATAGATGGTACTCATGTCACTACCAGAGTTCCTAGGTCACAGTCTGCAGCATACAGGGGGAGGAAGCACTACACAAGCCAAAATGTGCTTGCTGATGTTGACTTTGACCTGAAGTTCACATATGTGCTGGCTGGCTGGGAGGGGTCAGCGCATGATGCTAACATTCTCACTGACAGCATGAGTCAACCTGATGGGATCAACATCCCCGATGACAAGTTCTACCTTAGAGATGCTGGCTATGCATGTTGGCCGCGTATTCTTCCACCCTTCAAGAAAACAAGGTACCATCTCAACGAATTCTCTCGTAGGAACTATCCTAGGACTGCACAGGAGCTGTTTAATCTCAAACACTCCAGCCTTAGAGTAACTGTTGAGAGTGCATTTGGAGCTCTGAAGAATAGATTTAAGATCCTGGATCAGAAGCCATTCCACCCATACTCCACTCAGGTTAAGCTAGTTTTTGCTTGTTGCATTCTGCATAACTGGATCCTCTAGTGGGGCTTTGATGAACACGTGCCTGAGGAGGAAGATGTCGAGCCTGACAATGTTGTTAGCTCCGGCCATGGTGTGGAGGCATTTGACAATGACGCTTGGAAGAACAAAAGGTTGGAGTGGGCAGAGGCGATGCGGCTTAACAAAGGTCAGCGCAGGATTTGAAGAAGATGGAAGAAGAACAAGAAGCAGCAGTAGCAGTACCAGAAGCAGCAACAGAAGCAGAAGAAGAGAGGAAGAGGAAGAGGAAGATCTGGTAGCACCGATGAACTATCCCCTATTTAGCCAATGGCTCTTAATAATTTGAACTGTCATTTGATAGTAGTTAGGATGAACTGTCATTTGTTTAAGTAGATGGTGCTACATGTTCAGATTCTATGTGGT